CCGTATGCCGTACGTCCTTGGCAGCGAAAGGGTTAAGAGTTTCTGCACCTCTTGTTGTATTTATTTTATATAATGAAGAATGCAAATCAACAGGCCCACTGGTAACCCCTCCTAGTGACAACAAGTGCGTGGACCCAATAAATATATGAAGCTGTTATGTGGTTCAACAAGAAGTAACCTTGTAAAACCATTGCAAAATGGAAACCAAGCAATTTCTACAATTCACTAAAATGATACACTTTACCAAAACATTTAACTTGCAAGAAAGTAAAAAGGCACATATTGTACATTGGAAAAAAACTGATATGGAGAAAAGCACATAGTATTTGACCTGTATTAAAGTTCAAATAAAAGCCCTTATGAATGTAGTAAAATCAGACCTTATTCTGTTTAAAAAGGTGTGCAATGCCACCTGTTAGAGATTTCACTGCACCACTCTTTTGCTCCATCATCTTCTCTAGATTTAAGTGGAGGCCAGTCACTATAAAGAAGGAGGAAATAAAAGTAAGCGGCATAACCAGGAACAAAACTCATCTTAAAGCATTTAATATTGCGGCTTACCAGTCCTTAGGAGAGCTGTCTGCATTCATTTTACTTTTTATTTTCACCTGGTAATGCTTTAAATAACAAACTTTATGATTGGATTACGCTCACTCACTGCACTGTATCTATGGAGAGTCACGGTTGTCATGGACTTCAAACATTCAACCACTACTTGTAGTGCAGTAGTAAAGTAGCTGCAGGACCTATTGCCATGTGCTTGGATGCCTGCGACTAAAGACCGGCTTTAAAATGGCTTAAAGCAACCCTGTCACCAATATAAAACTTTTGGTCCAGCAGCCCACTGTAATAGAAGATGCTGAATACTTCACCGTTTGCAAGCTGGCAAGTCTATTCTTTGCCGTCTTGCAGACCTATGGGCACTGCTGCTGTCCAACACCTCTAGGTGTATCCCACTGCGTGCAGTCGTTCCTCCTGGCGCCTGCTTTGCCACTACAGTGGATGACACACTGTATTACACACCTAGAAGTGTTCAGTAGCAGTATTAGCCATTACATTTGATTCTCTACCTCCTCAAACTAGGTCACACTCTAGGTGCCAGATGTGCGGATGTGGCTCTATAATAGTTACAGCATTTGGGTGAAAATGGAAACTTGTGTAGGGACATCTCACGTATAGAGAGATTTAACTATAAGCCATCAATAATAACAGAAACGGAACTATCAGTTTTGAGTGCAAAAGGCCATTAAGAAGCATATTAATAGACAATACAAACTGAACAACCAATTAGCTCATTTCAAAATAATTGACAATAACATCTACCTTCGATTCCTCTGCTTGCAAAATCCTTTCCATGAGTAAAAAATATGCAACCAAGGAAAAAAAAACAGGCACATGTAAGTGTATAATGTATTCACTATAGCATATTGTGGAAAAGCAGGCATGGTAGCGTGATCCAGTAGGAAGGAAATCCTGTACTGTCCTCCTCACCAAAGCCATACTGCTATGACAGCATTCAAGCAAATTCACTAGTCTATTTATAAGATTTGTAGCAATGATTTAATAGGCGTTCCAAGAAAACAGTTATTAGACCGTGCTACAGAATAGAACAGCATGCATCAGCAGATTTACATACAGGTCTGGAACACTAATGCTGCAGAAACTAAAACGTATGTACTTTTAGATCACAGGCGAGTATCAAACCCCTTTAAAAGAGTATCTAAACTCAAAAAACAAAAAGTTGTAGCTTACCAGTTGCATGTGTGGTGTCTGTATTAATTTTTTCCACCTGGTAAATCCTGCAAATAACAGCCTTCTCTGGGTTGCTACGTTCAATCACCCCATTGTATCTACGGTGGGAACCATGGTTGTCATCTGTGGACAGGCTAACAAATATGTCTTCCTCTCCCTTTTTCTTTACTTACTAAAAAAATTTTCTTAACCTGAGCCACCACATCGAAGGAATGGTAAGCTGCAATATATTACGGGTTTTTGGGTTGGGATACCCTTTAAGTAACTCCTGCATACATGACATATACTACAGTAGTCTTTGGTCACAAGAGATGGAAATAATCCCCGATCAAGTAAAACATCATGGTGAATAGTTTTCCAGCATAACACAGAAAGTAGTGGAATATGCTTTAGGCCAGTTATTTGGGTACTTTTTAGTTTTTACAAAACTGAACCACCATCATGGGCACAAGGCAGCCACTAAATTAGTTTTGGCTTTATGTTGGTCTGCTTGAAAAGAAAAGGTCCACTTCTGGAGGATTTTCAGAAGATAAACATCAAAGTCTCTTATCCATGTCATATTTACATGTATGCCACCAGCAGTGGCACTGTGTTGCTGATGTGGTCCCTTCTGCCAGTGCTCCATCAGCTCTAACAAGAATCAGGCATCTGTAACATCAAGTGTATGCATCTTGGGTGACCTGGCTGCAGCAGTGGCCAGGCAGACACCACAGGTGGCACACCTGTAAGTAAGCTGTAGGTCTCTTTCATTGGAAGTCCACATACATTTAACTTAAAAAATCCACCAAAAGTGGACTTTTTCTTTAAAGGTCTATGATGACACTTTGGATGAAATTGGTTTCTAGATTTATATCCCTCACTGTGCTGCTACAGTAGTAATATTAATTTACAAAAAAATAGGAATATCAATTTAAAGTTAATAGCAGTGCAGACAAATGTAAAATATAAGGTTCACTGATATATTCCTAAAGCTAAATATTAAACATTTCAGTCAGTATATTTACTTAAAATACATCTTTATAAAATGTATTATCACACCAGCTGAAAGCTGAAATCAGCTGGCAGTAGAAGTGCATTTTCTATAAGCTGAGAGGCAAAATAAAGTATATAGGTAAAAAGAAGAGCACAAAGGGTATCAGTGTTCATTCGCAGTTCATAAAGCAGGCAGGAGGCGAGGCACAGAGTCTGCAGAACTACAGGCTATCAATCTGTTCTCATCCTCCGTGTGCCATGCAGTCAAGCACAAAAAACAATTGCAGATCTTCTAATACATAAATTGAGTCTTATGTACTGCATGTGTATTGAAGTTTAACTGAAGTGTATTACATTTTTACATACCTTGGAGGGGATACAGCCAACGTTTAAACAGGTTCCGCCAAGAGTGTCATTTTTTTCCACACACACAGTCTGAAATAAAAGATATATTAGCGAGAAACCAAAAATTCAGAAAAAAGATTGAGTAAATCGCTCTATAGAAAAATATCTGCATGTCCTCACAGCAAGTGAGCTGTGGGACCCATTGAACAGGCAGATATATTCCCAAGAATGACAGGCAAGACATCTACTTGTGTACAAGCAACCCTCTGCAGCACCAGAAGCTGCCATGATTCTCCCTATTGGTGACAGCAGTGCACTTTCTTTGGTCTTTACACAGGAGGGTGAAGGAGCTGCTGTGCTTGCAACAACATTGTTCAACAAGATGTAAAACCCATTTCTGTATCAACAAGTGCCTCTGACTACTAGAGACGCTAATATTGCAGCAATGGCTAAATTACGTAAGGTGGAGTTTGAAGTTAGAAGCATGGCTTGCTATGGTCGGGCCAGTTATGTCTGAACACAGAGGGAGGCAGTTTTAAAATCTCATGCAAAGAGATCTTCCCAAAACATACAAAATGTTACAACATGACTGCACTGAGAGCAAACATTTGTTATTGCTCACTAAAAACACATCTATGCTAGTATTTGATGAGTTAAGGCAAGCCCCAAAACAAGCTAATCACTTAGCCAAATGTTATGAAGTTTGCAGGCACCATGAATTCTTGATAAAATCCAGGCAGTATCACAATATTTCTCATGTAACCCTAAGGCCTGGTTCACACCTGAACGTTTTGTAGCGCGTTCAACGCTCGACGAACGCTCTACAAAACGCTCAAACATCTAAATCCCATTGTATTCAATGGGTCTGGTTCACACCTTGCCGTATTTCCGCCCGTCCAAACGCGATACAAAACGGCCTACGCCCAAAGAAGTACATGTACTTCTTTGGGGCGTTTTGATCTCGCGTTTCCATTGGGATACAGCTGAGTAGCCCACGGAAAGATGCGTTTGTCGCGCGTTTTTTTTTACCGTGAATCGCGGTAAAAACGCGCATATTCAATACGCCTAGGTGTGAACCCAGCCAAATGAAGTAAGATTAACTGAAGCAAAATAGAACAAAGCCCTATAATGCAGGTCAAAGTAAACCATTGCAAGTCAGGCCGAGCATATAATGTACAAAAGAGGTTAAGTTTAGTGACAATCAAATGTCAACTGATCAGTAGAGCTATAAATATATATACAGATCCATATAATTGGGGAGGGAAGGTTTAAGCCGCCAATATTTTGGTATAAAGTGTTTTGAGTTTATCCAAGACAAAAAAGATCATGGGGTGTCTACTCTCCTATTGGGGGTCATTTGCTGCGTTTGTACTGTTCTGGCATTTTTTTTTTGGTATGATTATAACAAAGTATGGGAGACAATTTTTTCCCAAAAATGTTAGGTTTTTTTTCCCTTCATATAGTGTAAAAAAGCCTAGTGGTTATTAAATGCCACTCAAAAAAACAACTATCTGCCTTAAAAAAAAATGGTATCAAATTAATTTGGGTACACTATTACACTGAGTAATTGCCAGTCAAACTATCACAACACTAAAGACTAAAAATGGCCTGCAAAGGAAGGGGGTATAACATGCTGGTGTAGAGGTGATGAAGCACAGGTTTAGGAGTATGCTTAAACTGGCCATACACTGGTAGAATCTCATATAGGGATGCAATGATACTGTTTTTTTCTGTATCGAGCACAGGTACCGATATTTATTTTTTGTTACTCACCAATACCGAGTGCCGATACCGATATTTCCACTGGCTTGGAGCCAGCTTTCTCGGCAATCAAGAAGCCAGGCCGTGGGTAATGACACACCGCCTGCCTCCTTGTTTGCACGGGAAGCCAGCTTTCCAGCAAATCAGCATGGAGCCGGCTTCCCCTGCCAATCAGGAAGCCAGGAGGTGGGTCAATGCCATCAGAGACTTGGTGAAAGTTCTTCAAAATTTGATTTGATTTTAACATTCAATTTTGGAATCAAGTTCCCAAAACGAGAACCACATTCACATGTATTTGAATTTTGTTTGCTCGAGAAAAGTTTTTCACCTTTCTCATTTGATTATTTTTCTCACTAAAGTCGAAAACATTTGCTAATTTAAACCGATTCACTATCATTAAAAAAAAAGAATCATAGTCCTGAAAACTATTTTTTTTCTAACAAAATTCCACTTGTATATTATGGTCAGCTTTACAAACGATATTAACGTACACACAGTCAAACCTTACCTGAAAGCCCAGCTGGGCAGCTTTGATAGCAGCAACATAACCTCCAGGACCAGAGCCTATGACTGTGACATCAGCATCTACTACAAGTGATAAATAATACACGCAAGTTAATTTCTATGCAGTTCATCATAAAACTTGCTGAAAAATAGAAATAAATGCAAATGTGTTTGCAGTGCTTACAACTATTAACCCTTTCGCTGCCAAGCCCTCCGGAACATTTTTCAAATCAGCTGGCCACGCCATTTTTCCCATTGATTTGATTTTCAACTTCTGCGTTGCTAGCGTTTGTAAAAGACCCCCAAACCATATATTTTCTGAAAGCGCAGGCCCGGTAGAATAAAACGATGGCGATACTAAATTTGTAGGCCCTGCGATAATTGCGCAAATGTTTCTCAAATAATGTTAAACCGATAAAAATACACAATTTAATTGATAAAGCACACTAAAATCAGTATCAGCGCACAAAAAATAATTTTCCGACTAAATCTAGCAGATAAAACTGTATTGAGTTAATAAATATTTGCAAATTTGAAATTTGCACCTTTTTGTGAAAAGGTAAAAAAATTACGGTACGTAAAACTGTAAATAAGCGACTTATTTTTTATTAGTTTTTTTTTTTTTTACACATGTTTAATTTATTTAATTATTTAAAAAAAAAATTAAATGTAAAGTTTTTTAAACATTTTTTTGTTTGTTTGTTTTACTGTTGGGGGGGGGGGCTACGGTGAAATATCTGGGGTCTGAACAGACCCCTGACATTTCCCTTTTGAAATAGAAAAAAAAATTGAGTCCTCAATTTCTTTTTCTGCAGCCTCAGCACTCAATGAATGGGAAGCACTCAGTACAGAGGCTTCCCATTCATTCAGAAACTAATGATAGTAAAAATATCTTACTATCATTAGTTTATGAATGTGGAGGAGCCTCTGTAGTGAGTGCTAGTCCCCATTCATACATTCTTGAATGAACAGGCTGTGATGTTAATCACAGCCTGTTCATTCATAACCGGGGACACATAGTACTGTGTGTCCCCCAGTTATTTACAAACACCGGAGTGATCAGACGATCACTCCAGTGTTTGCTCTGCACAGCGGGATCGATAAATATCAATGATATTTATTGATCCCCCGCTCGGCCACGCACAGAGCTGCTGTCATCTGAAAACTGACAGGATGACAGCGGCTCCGATCACTATACCGCTCGGCCATCCTGACACTGCGGCCAGCCGCCACTCGCTCCCCCGCCGGTGATTTTACTTCGGATCCCCGCTGCCACAGACCCTACAAGCGGGGGACAGCAGCAGGGATCCATGACGACACAGTTCCCTGCCTGAAGTGCCTCCAGGCAGTGATGAGAGACTGCAGGTGCCGGCAGGGGGCGCTCAGTATTTTTGCTAATAGCTGTCATCAGCGGCTCGTGAGCCGCTGATGACAGCTATTAATTTGAAGGGGACAGTCTGCTGAACAGTTTTTGTATAAGTTCATGGTCGCTAAAGCGACCATGAGCTTATACCAGAACTGTAAATGCCACCGACGTAAGGTATACTGAGCTGGCCAGCCGGGAACACTTTTATTCAGCTGTATGCCTTTTGGCGGTGGCAGCGAAAGGGTTAAGTCACATTAAAGCAAACCTGTGGGTTCCTATATGTGTTTTCATCATCTTTGCAGAGCACTTGAACTACTTAGGTTTTCTATAAAAGTAATTGCAACCATTCCAGCCACTGAAGCCTTTCATTCGCCCAGAAAAGTGATAGATGGCCAACAAAAACGCACAGCAACCATACAAACTGTGGCTTCAGTTTTCTTTTAGAACACCCCAGAATTTAGGCTTACTGAGGTACTCTGCAAAGAAACTGATACTATGTGCAGACACTTACAAAGATTCCTGTTACCCAGAAGCAGCATCTGCTTCCCATACCTAACCAACCTCACAAGTATATTCTAAGCTACATGAATGCCGTCACAGACTTTTACCATGTTGCAAACTCTGTTTAAAGTGATGGTAAACCACAAAAACTAAATTTGAATAGTGATCTCTCAGGGAGGTGTTTGCCATAATGTGCTAGTTACGCTCTGAATTTCCAGATTCAGAGCGGTCATTCATTGGCACTACTACTGACACTACTAAGCAATCACATAGGGGGCTTGTTAGCCCCTTATGTGAAAATAATAAAGTGAAAAAAAAACACAAAAGTTAGAATTAGACTTACCAGTAAATATTTCCAGGAGTCTTTCCAGGACAGCACATGAGCGAGGCACAACCTGCAACAGGAAACAAATCACCTACAGGGTTATTCACAAAAGGATGAAGAGTTTGGAGAAGGCAGGAGAAGTGAACAATCTAGGCCAAAATAGTTGATTTGGAAAAAAGAAAATCCTCCAATTCAGCTCACTTTTGAGTTCAGTTATGTTGTCCTAGATTGTTCACTTATCCTGCCTTCTCCAAACTCTTCACCCTTTTGTGAATAACCCTGCAAATCTTAAAAGGAAGTCCTTCTCACGACCTTGTCAGTATTAGATGAGAACCGAAAGAAAGCAATCTGAAGTAAAACAAATACAACAGTAAATAAAAGTACACACCTCAAGGGTGGGAACCTTGCTGTCCCGGAAAGACTCCTGGAAATAGAGTTACTTGTAAGTCTAACTCTGATTTTCCCAAATCGTCTTTCCAGGACGGCACATGAGAGGATTAGCAACTAACTAACTAGACTTTGGGAGGGACAAAAAGCATAATTCTGCTTCCACCAGGCTGACCCAAGGAAATACAAAACATGGGGGACCAGGCATATAAACCTCTCAGAGAAATATGAAAACAAAAACAAGAGACTACAGGGAAAGTTAGTGCCAAAAAAAACGGTCTCCGATTAACTTAGCATGACGTTAAACCGTACCGACTTACTAGTAAAATACTTTACCAAGTAAACCAGCAGCCGCATTTGTAGGGTACTATAGGATACTATAGTGGTACTGATGAGCATTAAGTCACAAAGACCTGAAATGTGCTAGGAGAAATTAGCATTGGTAGAATCAACCCGAGCGTATACTAAAATACAAATACTCCCTGCATAAGAAAGGACCTGGATTAAAGCCCTAAGCAAGACCAATAAGATACGCGCTGCAATCTGCCCCTACTTGCAGGCAGGCGGAGCCTATATCTCGATGGCTGTCCTGGAAGATGACTGGGGAAAAAGAAGTTCAAGTACTTTTTCGCGCGTAGGACGTTTTTCAGCGCGACAAATCGCACTGAAATACGCCCAGGTGGGAACCATGCCCATAGGGATTGATTGAATTTCCCTTCTTGAGTGTTTTTCAGCGCTTCGATCAGCGCTGAAAAACACCCAGGTGTGAACCCAGCCTAAAAACAACAGACTTACGCCATACCAAGAAGTCAGAAAAAGAGGTTTATCAATGTGTTGTTAAAGAGATGCCACCAAAATTATATAAGAACACTACATGACATGCAGAGTGCCCAAAACAGAAAAATATTAACTAGCTGCTATAAATGAGGTACTGAAAGCTTACGGTGATATCATGAAGTGGGAAGTCATGCAGGATTAAACCTGTGATACCAGGTGAACACCAAAAAGGTGCTTGAGCCCAACACTAGACATGTAAAGGGTTGAGTATTATATAAATAGGCTGCGAGGAATGAAGCATACAATGCACAAGACATACCTAAACCGCGTAGTAATGTACAGGAGCTACGCAAGAGGTTTACCATAATGTGGCAGTTCCTAGAATGCACAAGTACCACACACAAACTGCAAAGAGCTTGGTGCTACTAACTGGTTACCGCCAAAGACACCTTGCAAGTGAATGACAAACTTTAGACATCAGCATAGACTTTTCCTACATTCATCATAGGCAGTTAAGCAAGAGGTCTAACATGGATACAAAAATGATTAGTATCAACAATCAATATTTGGTGTCACCACCAGCATCAGTTTTCCTAGGTACACTTGCACAGTTTTGAAGGAACTCGGCAGGTAGGTTGTTCCAAACATCTTGGAGAACTAACCACCGATCGTTGTTGAGATTAGGGGTATGGCTTTTTGGCCACAATTCTTCCATGATGACCACTTCTAACCAGACTTCTCCAGACAGTTGATGGCTGCACCTGGGCCCCACCAGTTCAGTGCTGGACATCTTCCAATGTCGAAGGGAAGTAAGCATGATGTGTCTTTCACCTGCTGCATTAAGTTTCCTTGGCCGACCACTGCGTCTACAGCCCTCAATGTTGCTGTTTCTTTAAGAGCGTGAACAGCACATCTTGAAACCCCAGTCTGCTTTGAAATCTTTGCCTGGGAGACCTTGCTGATGCAGTATAACTACCTTGTGTCTTATTACTGTGCTCAGTCTTGCCATGGTGTATGACTTGTGACATGAAAGTCTTCCACAACCTCACCTTAGTAGCAGAGTTTGGTTGTTCCTTACCCAGTTTTAAGCCTTCTACACAGCTGTTTCTGTTTCAGTTCATGACTGTGTTTCCACCTACATATAAAATTGATACCTGCTTGGTATAATTGGTTAATCATACACCTGACTCTAATGCTACAAAATCCCTGACTTTGTGCAAGTGTAAGAATTGATGCTGGTTTAAAGCCAAAGCGTTGTCACACCAAATAGTGATAGATTTTTATTCTGTTCATTCACTTTGCATTTTGTAAATTGATAAAAATAAAACAATAAAAATATATATTTCTGAAAGCAGGTTTGTTTTTTTATTAATGGAGCTTAAGCCTGAAATGGCAAAGCCCAGCTCTACCAGTCATTACCCCTACAAGGAGCCACTGTAAAGGTTTTAACAGTGCAACAGGAAAAACGGTGTGAGAACAAAATCCCAACACAAAACCAGGCAAGTAAATAACATAAGTAAAGTTTTCTCCTTACCTGATCAGAGCTGATACCACTGGTGCATGTTGCCACCGACGCTGCCTCCCTTCCCAACACAAGAGGTGCAGCGCTGAGTAAGGGCCCCACATATGCCCAGGGTTCCAGCTTAGGCGCCGTTGCTACATATTTTGGAACCAAAAGTGGCCAGCCAGAAGAACGCAATGCCTGTCCCCAGTTTAGCCTCTAAGTAAAAAGACGCCTGGCATCCCAGGTATAGGAAAAATGCCACACCCTGCGGAAAACTGGTCACTAGACCCTGATTCTCCTAAGGGTGCTGTGACCAGGAAAGTCCTGGATCCCGCTGGATCATGGAGCTGAGAAGGGGGCCCCAGAACAAACAGTCACCCGTCAGGAAGGTGGACCAGGGGGCATAAATGAAAAAGACTACGCTTCACTGTCCCCCTTGGAGGTAAGCAGCCTAAGGAAAAGATAGGTGGAAGGGAACAGCTCAAAATGGAGACTGCTTTCAGAGTTCCAGGTGATTCTTTCTGTCCAAAGGAGGAAACGCAAATAATGACTAGGTCGGGAGAATGACTTCCTTTTAAGATTTGGTGATGTGTTTCCTGTTCGAGGTGCCTCTCTCTTGTGCTGTCCTGGAAAGACGATTTGGCAAAAAAATAAAAAAAGTGTAGAGAAGTAAACTTTAAATGTAATTAATTTAAAAACACCCCCTAAAAATATGTCCCCATCCCACATACATATGTAGTAGTACATGCTTCAGGTTAAAATGACAACTGGGCCACGCGTAAGGTACCACTAAATAATTCTAGGGCCTTTTTAACAGATGTGTTTCATACAGGCAAAGTACCTGTGTGCAAGTATACATATCTATATTTGCACTACAAGTATAATTCAAATGATTGCTTCTTTTTGGGACAGCACATATGTAACTATAAGAACAAACAATCATTTGGGATGAAACCGATAACTTACAGGCTTGGTCTGCATAGGTTCTGAGTGGCACAGCACAGATTCTTTTCAGTCCAGGGGTGAGATGACTGAAGTGAGCCTTCTATATAATACAACAAAAAGGGAAATTGCAAATTAATTAGACAAGCAAACAAAGCAATGACTGTGTTCCTCTTCATGATCTCTAATTATGACAGCAGAAATATTCTCCCATTACATTTTCAGGCTAGGGGCTGCTTCTCTTTAATTATGGCATTTATTCAAACCAAAAATATATCCCACATTGGCTGGCAATGTGTGAGAAAGTAATTGCCCTCTTACACTGAATGACTGGCTGCATGACCTTTAGTTGTAATGGCTGCAGCCAACCTTTACGTATTATTTCATATCAGCCTTTCCCATAGTTATAGAGGAATTGTAGCCCACTTTTCTTTGCAGAACTAGCAATGGAAAGCTTTGACACTTAATCCCAGCCTTTTCTTCTGTCTTGCACATTTGTAGATGCTTTTCTCCTTTAATAAAATTGCTTACACCGATTTCCAGGTGGCCATCTTGGGCACGCTCAGTAGAATATCAAACTAGGGCCAATTTTAGACAGAATCCATTTAACCTACCAGCATTTTTGGAGTGCGAGATGAAACAAAAGTACTGGGAGGAAAACTCACACAAGGTCAAGGAAAGCATGCAAACTCCATGCAGCTAGTGTCCTCAAGAGGACGCGAATGCCGCATTCCTAAGCTGTGTTTTTTTTTTTTTTGCAGGTTATAATGGGCTTTCAGGCGCATCCCATGCAGTATTTCTGGTCTGGTACGGACTGTGCTGGTGTGAACAGAGGCCAGAAATAGCATAGGGATACATTTTGAGTCTGGAAACAATCTGGCCTTGATGTGGTGGGAACGCGCCCTCACACTTGACCATAAATATTTTCATTATATGGGCCTCTGCGCACATTTTTCAGGCTTTGGCATTTTTTCTTTTAGCTAATGGAAAGCTACCTACTAGGAGGTGACAATTGTTAGCCATGAAATTGCACAAAAGATGCACGTTACATGCATTTTTCATATGTTATGAATCACCTGCACTTCATGCAGAGTTTTAATCATAATGTTATTCGTGGTGCTGGCAGTGATGGCACACATGGCGCTACAGAGCTCAAACTGTTGAATAGAGAATCACCAGCACTCACAGACATGAAAGGGGGAATTTTCTCACATGCATCCAAGCCACATTTCGGGGCCACGCAGGGTCCCTTCTTCAGGGCAATAGTGACAGGTCAGGGAACTAGGTCACCCTGAAGAAGGGACACTGCGTGGCCCCGAAATTTTGGCTTAGATGACGCACATGTGATAAGATTTCAATAAAAGTAACAAGAAGTCAGGCTTTCATTCCTGTGACTGCTGGTGATTCAATATTCAGCGTTTATTTTTCAGATGCTCTCATTGAAGGCTATGGGGCCAAAAATTTGCCATTTAACTGTTTCAAACTACAAGGGGCACAACACTGGGGGGTGAAGGGGCACCACTGAAAACAATGGAGTTCTTCATTAGTGATGAGCAGGGCGGGTTGGTGTGAACCCAGTTCGGGCAAACTTGTGCAAAACTTTAACAGACACCCCCTTCCCAGAACAATCAGTTACAGCGGGAGCATTGCACACCCCTCAACTATATGTCACAACGTATTTGTACGTGGTGGGGTTTAGTCAGTCACGTTTTTGCACAGGCTTGGGCTCACACCAGAACACCGCTTTTTCCTAATGAAGAATCTCATCGTTTTGAATGGTTCCTGTTCACACCGAAGCGTTGTGCCATTTGCAGCTTGAGATTCTTTCAGGCAGACTAACCTTCAATGGGAGCACCTGAAAAACAATACATAAGGTGCATCTTTTGTGCGATTATTGGGACAGGAGGGGTGTGTGGACATCACAGATTTGGGCGAATTGGGTACATGCCAAGCACCCGCACATCAATAACCCTTATGTTGAGTGTTGTCACATTTGTGTAAAAACCACTCGGGTGTGAAAATGGACTTATGGGACATGACAAGCGGAGAAACAATGGTTCCATAGACAGTGTCAGTGACGACTTCTGGGCTGTGCAGGGAAGGTTGGAGCACTCGTACTCATGACACGTCCAATATACAAACCCATGATAGGTGACATATATAAAGTGAGCCCTCTCTACCGTACAAGTATCCAGGGAAGAGTGCGCTGGTCTAGTAGATGAAGGTCAGCAGTGTGTGCTGCTGTCCGGGTGCAGGCACTGCTCAGTTTTCTAGGCCTTGGTTGTGTCTCACAAGCTGTCACCTCAAGAGAAGTGTCTCATTCACACTACAAACGAGGTTACCGGCCGTCTTACTCTCCTCGCCCACTGTGCTTTGTTACCTTGCCCAAAGTACAACACACGCGGCTCCAACTCTGCATTTTCCTTCCGCAGCTGACACACTCTGCTCCCCAGCCTGGGCTACTGTGGATCAAGGACTTCACCGACTGCGCAGGCGCATGGGGGCGCGGCAGCTCGCAGGGATGCCGGGAAATGTAGTTTCATGCCGCAGTGAGTCACATGTTTAAAGACTCGCTCCCGCTGGGTCAATGAGAAGTTTAGGTACTGCGGTTTGGTTGTGCGGGTTTTCCCGGCTGCTTTGTGTATAGACGTCGGTCATGAGAGAATTACGGAGACTGTCACTGGAATGCTAACTGCCCCGGGGGTGTCCTGGATGCTTTTCAATCACATACATGGAACAAGCCGCACATAGGTGCTGGAGAAGTGTCAGAATTGCTGAGCTCTCTTCTTTTTTTCAAATTAAAATCTCAGACAGCTGTCTGTTCAGTAGTGTGAATACAATCTGCAGTCTCCTGGGTCCAGACCTGCCTTTCTCAACCCTATTTGCAGTCAGTCACGGCACCCTTTAAAAGTATGCAAGATCTCAAGGCACCGTTGACAAAAATGAAAATTTGGAAATTAAAAAAAAATTATGCAAGGGTCCTTCAAAATCCATACCAGACCATTATCCTAGATACGGATCTGATGCAAAAACAGAAGAAAATGAGTGCTCCCCTCTTACATCAGGAGTCCCCCCCCCCCCTTTCACATCAGGTGTCCCCCATTTTCTTCAGGAGCCCCACTACAAATCCGGAATTCTGCCCCTTCCCCCCCCTCCCTTTAACTACTTCAAGACCAGGTGTTTAGACCCCCTTCCTGGCCAGGCCATTTTTCAATATTTAGTGCTGTGGTACTTTGATTGACGTTTATTCCGTCTTGCAACGCTGTACTGAAATGAATTTTATACTTTTTTTTGGGGACAGATAGAGCTTTCTTTTGGTGGTATTTAATCACCACTGCGGTTTTTATTTTTTACTATATTATGGAAAAAAAAATTTCCCCATTATATTAGGAAACTGATTATTACCCATATTTTTGGTAAATATATAAAAGACGGGGTCACGTCGGGTAAATAGACACCAAACATGTCATGCATTAAAATTGCGCGCACCCGCGAAATCGCAAAAAACTACCATACCCAAAATTGACCATAGGAGACGCTTTAAAAGCTTTTACAGCTCATCAGTTTAGTGTTATCAGTGATTGATAGCCCTAGAACTATTGCTCTCATTCCGACGTTCGTGACAATATGTAACATGTGCGTCATAATGGGCGAAATCTTCGTTTTCGCACGTATGCGCACCCAACGCCTGTTTGCATGCGTGTATGTATGGGGGGGACTTTAAAAAAAAAAATGTAATTCATAGTTACATAGTATTCGAGGTTGAATAAAGACATACGTCCATCAAGTCCAACCTATTGCGTGTATGCATTTATGAGCAGGTGTGTGCGTGTGTATTAGTACATGTGTGATTTTGCTCTTAGGCGTACCTGCACCCCTGTATATTATGATCTCCAAGGAACTCGTCCAGGAGTCTCTTGAATGATTCCACACTCTTAGCTGAAATCACTTCCTGCGGCAGCGAGTTCCAGACCTTAACCCCTCTAACTGTGAAGAACCCCTTGAGCCCTGTATGTTGAAATGCTTTTTCCACCAATTTTTGGTTGTGCCCTCTGGTATTTGTAACTTTACATTTTTGGGGGGGAAACTGAAATTATTATTTTTTCCTATTTTTTTTTTTCACTTAACTTTATTGCTATCACATAGGGGGCTAAGATCGTGTACCGACCTCCCTCTGATCCCCTGTGACAGAGGCAGTATGCTGGTCCCGGGCTCGCACCGGGCACAGCGGAGCTCGGGACCAGCGTGACAGTGGGAGGGGGCGTACATCCCGGGACCTCATACAAGCGATCCGCCGGCTCTATAGCCTGCGGATCGCTTGTATATTAACGGGCATCGCTGCCTGTTTTGAAATATCGGCATTTCCCGCTCGCATGCGCCCAGCGGCGCGTGCGAGGGGGCGTGTCTGAGCGGACGTCTAAAGACGCCCGCTCAGATCTAGAGAGCTCCTGGCCAGCCATTTTTTTACAAGGCCAGCCAGGAAGTGGTTAATCTACTTTGGAATCCTACCTATCATCACTGCAGCAGCACTGTGACATATCCTTGAAGTATATTTCTACTTTTGCAGCCAAATTGGAATAAATAAAAATCTACTTGATATTTATTTAAATTGCATGTTTCCATTCACATGGCATAACTTTAAAAATGAAAGAATAATTTTTTTAATTAACCCTTGCAGTGGGGCTACCCCTGCACTGCAAGGGTTACTGTATGTGCTCATTTGTGTCTAGGCGCTAGGTGCTAAAAAAAAACCAAAGTTATACATTGATTCTCAGCTTGAAGGCTAATGTAAAATCCTTAGCGTGTGTCATTAAGTAAGTGTCAAATACTGGTACAGTAATTGTATGCTATCTATATGCTAGCTATCTATATGCAACAATGTATGAACATGCTTTGTTATGATATAAATATTTGTTATGGGATATCCACTTAGGTCCAGCTGTGGTTCCTGAGGGAGCAATAGAGCGAAATGCGTGGAACTACAAGAGGAGCACATAAAATTGGAGCAATCCCTCGCAAATATAAGGACTATAGGGGATGTTTCTGAGTTAAAACCACAGTTTCAATAGGGAATATCAAAGTGACACGTGTTGTTTTTATATATGAAATTTAATTGTGATTATTAAATAGATTATGTAATTGTACCCGGTTTTGGTATCGCTTTGCCTCTTTACACCCATTACTACTGTATTTCAAAGCTATACTCACCCGGAGCTCCATTCTGCAGCCCATCGTGATGCAATTGGCATCACCAGAACATGCCAATGCATATGCACTGAATTGTGCGCTGTGGTGTGAACCTACCGTACCCTTAGAGCTAAATCTCACAATATACAGCCAGATAACTGGACACTTTAAGGGCCCATTCACACCATTCTGCATTGCACGAATTTCACGTGTTGAGGCACTCTGGGTTAGAGGGCTCATACATTTCAATACATCTTAATGCATCTTAACGTATGAAATGATAGGGCTACATTGAGGTGCATGGAAATGCATTGCAGTGCAGGTTGCATTGCTGAGGTGGGATGCCATTTAAACTGAATGTCCCTGCAACCCACCAACGCACATACCGTGTACTACCAAATGTAGTAATGGAAGCTTTTTGTAGCGCATGTTAATGCAATGTGCATTTGTTAGAGAACCCTACAGCAAAATGCTTGCTTTATTGCCCACCCCCTGCCCCCAACAGTGTATACTCTCATTTCCTTTGCTTCCTCTCAGCTCGGTTCAGTCACTGGGAGAAGGGAAAATACTTCAGGAGAAGGATGTTACTCCCTTACTGTGATAGTGCTCTGCCAGAACTGTCATTTAGGGAGGAGGAGAGTCCTCAGCCCGGTGTAAACTCCAGCTGGAGCAACTAAAATCATACAGAAGCCTGTTTTTTACTACCAGCAGGTAAACAGAGTGGCGGAGGAGCAAAGAAAAAGGTGATTATATGCTGACAGGGATTTTAAACCTGTTGCTTTGTCTGCAGGGATTGCCATGTTATAGAGTGGCACATTGCCCCGTACAACACTGACACATTAGATATCTGATTTCCTGTTAGATTGTAGGAGACTGATCTCTGCTAGCCACACACACATACATTTTACATTAATATTTTTTTGGATTAAGTCAAAATTATCTTTGGAGTTTTGTTTAGTTCAGTCCACAAATGTACTATTGAAGAAAAAAAAAATATATATACAGTATTTTTAATTTTTTTGACAGGAACGTGGAGGATGACTTTTGACAGGAACAATGATGACTTCTCATTCTGCAAATGTTAGTTGCTTGGCTGTCATGTTGACCCTGTTACTTTAATACTTGGCATCACTAACACAGAACAAATATACAAATTAGGACTTCTGACTTTGACTCCCCTGAAATCCGTTACTTCTTCCAAGACTGTGACTCATTGGGAAACCTAGGCTGGGATCATGTAGCAACTGGTATGACAAAACATGTAAACAGCAATAAGGAACTCAGACTCTGGTGTATGTGCAATATGACTGTTTATGGTGAAAAGGTGTAAAAGCAAACATCTGTAAAACAAATACTGAATGAGCAAGTGGAAATTCAACAGGCAAAAAGGAAAACAAAACAACCAAGTACAGGAATTAAACTGTATAAACTATACTATACAATAGCAGGGTTGAAAAGGCGATGAGAAGAAACTTGATCAGGGCTAATGGTAGCCTGCATAGTTCTCTTGCGAAAGCTTTATTTTTAATTGACACTAAAGCCTAGGTTGATGCTTTTTAAAGAGTACATTTTCCTTCCAGCTGTGTCAAGTTGTCCCTTTAGAGCTGGTGCCACTGTCGTTCTCCAGTGTCTCCTTTTTACAGGGTCCCACAGAGTCACCCCTGCGTGCATGTTCTCGGTATGCATTCATTGCCTAACATTGTCTGACACTGTAAGGCTGGGTTCACACCTGAGCGTTTCCGCTCGTTTTTTCGTTCAGTGAAACGCGCGCTTCACTGGTGGTATGATTTTTTTCCCTTTTTTTCTCTATTTTTAAATTTTTATTTATTTTTTAACTTTCACTTTTAAACTTCCCGCCGGCTCCGCCCACCTGCGACGCAGCCGCTCGCAAGGGACGGAAGTCGGCAGCCGCCTAAGATACAGCGGGGATCGCGGACAAGGTAAACGCGCGGCAAAACGCCCCAAAGATGCTCCTGTACTTCTTTGGGCGTTTTGCAGCGCGTTCCTTCACGCTGTAAAACACCCAGGTGGGATCCATGCCCATAGGCAACCATTGGTTTTCACATGTTGAGCGTTTTACAGCGCTTAGGAACGCACTGTAAAACGACCAGGTGTGAACCAGGCCTAAGACAGTCCTCCTCCCCCCCCTCCTGTAACCTTAACTGCACATGCACCTCTGCTCCCTGCACACACACACTGCTCTACCTAGAAGTTCGGGAAAGCTGAGCTCTGTGGCCGGGACCGAGCGGCAGAGAGGAGTTGAGTTTTGTAATTGCTTTCCTAGGCTATTCCATTCACATATATTGGGGCGGGCATAC